AACATCTGTGCCCATCTTCCTCCACTTTATATGGGACGCCGCCACAGCATGGCTTGCCAAGCAGTGTGTCGGTGCGCGCCCGGGATCCGAACCAGCGAACCCCGGGCCACCGCAGCGGAGCGCGCGCACTTAACCGCTTGCGCCACCGGGCCGGCCCCACACACAGAGATTTGATTTTTATAGATTAAAGTTTTCAGCCTGTTCTTTTGTGGTTTCTGAGTTTTGTTATACATAGAAAGGCCTCTACTCTCCAAGATTATGAACAAAAAGAGCCCCTTGTGTTTTCCTGTCGAACGTTTATTTTGTTTTTTGAATGTGTTTATCTTGTTGTAAATGGCTTCTACCAGGAGCTGCTGTCTTCTGGGAATTTGGAGAATGTGTGTGACCTCCTGCAGCCCTGTGGAGCCGGAGCTGTGGTGGGTGAGGGAGGGTGTGGGACCCCACAGCTGGAGAGTGGTTGGTTCCAGAGCCTGCATAACTTTCTCTTCCATATGGCACCTGGTCCCAATGGCATTTCATAGAAGAACTCACCTTGGATTCTGCTGCCTTTATCACACTAAATTCCTCTGTTGAGCTGAGTTTATGTCTGACCTCTTTTCTCTCTCTGAGCGAGCTGTTTGTGTGTGGATGATGAATCGCTGTAACTTTATACTATGTTACACTGTCAGGTAGAATAGTCACTTACCTACTGCTCTTTTTTGGCATTGTCCTGGCTGTTCTTGCTTCCTCTTCCCTGTCAGCGTTAGAATTGACTCTGTTAGGCCCCACCCCCACACCGTTGGTGGTGATTTGGAGGTCTTGTTAAATGTGTTGAATAACTGGGAACAAGGGGTATCTTTATGTTGAGTCTTCCCTTTCAGGGACATAGTATGTCTTCTGTTCGTTCTTGTCTCCCTTGTTAGGATTTCCATTTTCTTCCTGGGCTTCTTGCCCGTGAAGCACTTCTCAAGTTCATCCTTAGGTCTTGAAGCTTTATAACTCTGGTAAGATGTTGTTGGTGTATATGAAGGATATTGGTATATGGACATTTAAAAATTCTTTCTTTTGCCTATGCTTTTTCCAACTTAGTTGCCATCATACACTGAGAGGGAGTGTGTGTGTGTGGTATGTATGTATATATAAGTCTTTTTGAAAAATTTAACATAGTAGCAAAAGCATTTCCCATGTTATCATAACTTCTTTATTTTTATTTTTATTTTTTTATTAAAACTTTTTTTTAATTTTATTTATTTATTTTTCCCTCAAAGCCCCAGTAGATAGTTATATGTCATAGTTGCACATCCTTCTAGTTGCTGTATGTGGGACGCGGCCTTAGCATGGCCAGAGAAGCGGTGCGTCGGGTGCGCCCGGGGTCCGAACCCGGGCCGCCAGCAGCGGAGCGCGTGCACTTAACCGCTAAGCCACGGGGCCGGCCCTATCATAACTTCTTAGTGTAATTTGTTTTAGGAAAATTTTTATTATGGTAAAAAATATATAAAATTTGCTATTTTAACCATTTTTGAGTGTACAATTTGGTGGTATTAATTACATTCACCATAATTAATTCACCATATTGTGCAACTATCATTACCGTCTATTTCTAAAGTTTTTCATCACCCCAAACTGAAACTTGTAACCGTTAAGCAATAACTCCCCATTTCCCCTGCGTTCAGCCTCTGGTAACCCTCTAGTCTACTTATTGTCTCTATGAATTTGCCTATTGTAGATATTTCATGTAAGCGCAATATTTGTCCTTTTGTATCTGGTTTCTTTTACTTAGCATAATGTTTTCAAGTTCATCCATGTTGTAGCATGAGATGAGAATGAGAATGAGAACTTTATTCCTCTTTATGGCTGAATAATATTCCATTCTGTGTATGTACCACATTTTAGGAACCATCACTTTCTGTGGCTCCACAATCCTCCTGTATGTGGATGGACCCTGTTTTCTTAGCCATTCTTCCTTTTCTGCTCTCACTCAGATAAGCCTCGTAGCAGATACGCTGTCAACAACACCGGAGACCATGCTGATGACCAGGATGGTGACGCCAGGTAAGGGCTCTGCAGTCACTCTGTGATGGGGCTGGTCCTGCCCCGGCCTGGGCAAAGCCCCACCTCCCCACCTGACCTGATGTTTTCTCCCCTGAGAAACCTGGTGTCCTTTTTTCCCATTTGGTGTGTGTTTCAGCTAGCACAGACGGGATTGTGTTGCCAGTCTCTGGCTTGCTGTGTAATTCAGTCACATATTGCAGCTGCAGGCTGTGTGGTTGGTAAAGCAGGTTGAAGAGCAGAGGAGGCCATGTCCCTGTAGAGTGTTTACCTCCTGTGAGTGGGACACAGAGGAAAGCAGGACCCAGTGCTATCCTCAGACCTTATTCCTGGAGCACGTGCCTGGAGGTCAGACACAGCGCTCAGGCGCAGCTCAGCCTGTTCAGGTGGTGATGTGGGCTGAGAGCTAGGCTAATGGGACCCTTGCTGTTTTAGGGCACAGGTGAAAGGCGGGTCCTTTTCCTTCCTGTGTGTGCTCCCCTTGCTCATTCTGGGAAGTGCTGTAGGGTGGCACACATGAGAAATGACCACTTCTGCCTTCTTATGTTCATTTTAAAGCTTAGTAAGTGGTAACACAGGCCCAGATGAAGGAGGAAAGATTATACATTGCCTGTGCTGGGTTCCCCTAAACACAGCTGGGGCCTGCATGAGATAAAGGACTCAGCCTCCTCTGTCCTTTGGGAAGGTAGCTGAGGTCCCCACGCTGGGCCTTTGCCGTGCAGTGCACTAGTACAGTTTCCCTCAGTTCTCTGACAAGGCAGCACACCCGCCGTAGTGTTGTGCCGTCCTAAGAGTGTGGTTTTTATCTTTTTATGTGAGGGTGTTGGGGGCCTGTGGCATGTCCGGTGACTGTCTCCAAGGGGAGTGGGCTTTGGAGGAGGGAGCAGGGTGTGTGGGGGGCTGTCGGACATCCCATGGGTCATTCTGCTTGACGTAGAGGCCTGTGATTGTCTCGTCCTCTAAAGTTAGCAACTTGGAACAAAATCTTGTTTGTTACAGGCACACAGAAAGCTTTTTGCCCCTGCACACCGGGTGGGTGCATTTTCTCCTCCTCCTGTGCTACAGATTAGTTTAGAGCGGGGCTGGCTGGCCGCCTGTCTGCTGTTCTACTTCCAAGCTCCAGGGACATGAGACTCATGCTGCTGAAGATTCAGAAAGAGCTCTTGGAGTGGTCTGCATGGAGGGATTTCCTAGGAGAGCTGGCAGCACCTAATCCCTGCAGCTAATTTTGAGAGGATTATAGTAAAAGACTATGAGGATGTTTTCTAGAGAATTAATTCAATATTTATTATGATGAAGAGGGAAAACCATGGGAAGGGAGTAAGACATTGTGGGTCTATCAGGGGGACACAGGCATGCTTGTTCCCTAAGAAGAGCTGGTTCTCTTTAGACTCTATTTCATTAAAATTAAGAATTACTTCATTGGGCCGGCCCCGTGGCTTAGCAGTTAAGTGCGCGTGCTCTGGCTGGCGGCCCGGGTTCGGATCCCGGGCGCGCACCAACGCACCGCTTCTCCAGCCATGCTGAGGCCGCATCCCACATACAGCAACTAGAAGGATGTGCAGCTATGACATACAACTATCTACTGGGGCTTTGGGGGAAAAAATAAATAAATAAAAATTATAAAAAAAAAAGAATTACTTCATTTGGTAGTTTTAGTGCATTATAGCATCTGATGATCCCACTCCTCATGCCTCACATTTTCAGAGACTCAGGAAAATATGCTAGGGGCCCAGCTTTATTTTGTCACCTCAGCCTGCTGAGCCCCTGCTCTACCTCTGGCCCAACTCTCTCATAGCTCAGATATCTTCCTGGAACAGTGCAGTGAAGGTTCATCAGACCCATTCTCTGCGTTTTCCTTGATTGTCGTTCTCAAAGGTGCTTTTCTTCTGGAACCAGTGAAGTGTTCCTGCTTGTCAGTTTGCCAGATTGAAGGCAACATGGGTAACTTCTGAGAGTCGTGATGGCTTGCCTTAGAGAAGTGAGGACGCAGAGCTGCACTGCCTAGTGTTATAGTCACTGGCCAGCGTGCCATTTAAATTGAAATGAACTGAAGTTAAATAAAATTAAAAATTTAGTTCCTCAGTTGCACTAGCCGCATTTCAGGTGCTCAGTGGCCACATGTGACTAGTGGCTACTGTATTGAATGATGCAGGTTTAGAATGTTTTCATTACTGTAGAAAGTTCTGTTGGATAACCCTGGCTTAGAGAGTGGGCTGGTTTTATAAGGTTGAATCATCAAGATAATGTGTTTCAAGGTATAAGAGTTAACTGTCACTTTTTTTTTTTTTTAATCCTTTTCTAGAATTCAGTAGGGAGAGAAGAAAGTGGATATTGTCCATTGTTTCTAAGGCTTGAGATTCAAGGTTAAAAGAGTTGTTGTATTCGTCTTGATTGGGTGTTGGGGGCCAGGGGGCTCATGCTTAATTGCATCATGCATCCCCCGCACTGGCAGGGGCAAAAGCCATCCAGAGAGGTCTGAGAGAATGCCTGGTATCAGTCGGAAAGGCTGTTGTGGGCATGATCCCTTCCAATGTGGATGGCTGTCTCTGGCCCCCCTGCAGATTTCAGGCAGTGTTCTGGCCACTGTCTCAGAGAAGGAGATGCTGGTGGCTTAGAGAAGAGTTGACTTCATTTCAAAACATTCTGAAATCATTTTGCTTTAGACATTCTCCAGAAGACCTCCCCAGAGCTGTAATAGGTTTCTCTCTCCACACTTTGACTCTCTGTTGGCATTGTGGTGCAGTGGAATAAGGTGGCACTGCTGCCCTCCTCAGGCTTGTCTACCTTTCTCGAAGCAGTGGGTCCAGCTTTTGGGCACAGTCATGCCCTAGGCTGGATGGGGGCCTCTGCCAGGTGAGCCCGAGTGCTCACTGGCACACAGCACGCAGGCCCTCCACAGCAGATGCACATGGGGCTCCGCCAAGGCCTCTCTTGATGGCTTTGCCTCTGCTAGTGTGTGTGTTGAGATGTGTTATAAAGGTGCCCCTCCTCCTGGAGCTGAGGTCGATACACAAGAACATGCACAAATAGTGTTGTCCCCAGGCTTGGGCATCTCCCTCCCCTTTCCTGGCCCAGCCACCAAGGCCACACTGGCACGTCCCTGCAGAGCAGCATGCTGGGACGACTGCAGGTTCAAGGTTCTGGTCTGACTCTCACTCTGTGTCCTACAGTGTATGGTATTGGGCATGTTCCTTAGACCGTGAGCCTTAGTTGCACTGTCCTCTGTAAGATGCCTAAGGGTGGCAAGGCACCTCTGCCTCTCCTGCCCAGGTCTGGGTGTCATGGGAGCATCTGTGTTTTGGTGAGAGTACTTGCTGATGGCTCTGCCTCCCTCAGAGGGGCAGACACAAGTCCATAAAACAGACTTGTGGGGTTTCGTGTGTCACCAGCACACCCCAGTACAGAAATGGAGTGCTGCTGACGCTTGGCAGCCCCACGTGCTCCTTCTCATCTGAAAGTCAAGAGATTTCCTTTCGACCTGTCTAGTTGTAGGAGATAAAGTTGTAGGAGTTACTGGGGCTTCTGTGGATTCTGACTTTCCAGGCAATCTGCGGAAAGTCCACAAAACATCTTACCCTTTTAGTACTATACAAACTGTTGAGCTAAGGTTTGGGAGCTGCTGAAAAAAGGGTCCTTCATTGTGTGTTTCTCTTGCCTGAGTCTTTGGCAGTGTATGTTTCTTGATAAGAGCTGTGGGGAGTAGCAGGCCTGCAAGGCAGCCTGGTGGGCGTGGTACAGTGTCATGGCAGGCTCTCACCCCTCCGATGCTGTCTCTACTCCAGGGTTCAGGCCTGCTTCCTGTTGCCAGGATACTTGGAAAGCAGCATGTCCCAGAACACAGACTTCTGCAAAGGAACTTTAACTCTTTTAAATATACCCTCTAAAAAAACTCGAGTTGGTGGTGCAGAGGTCTCAGACATTTTCCAGCATACGTATATACAGATCTGCCACAAGTGCCTTGCTGAGGGGGCCACAGTTATGTTCTGGGCAGAGGCTCCAGGAGATGCGCTATGCAGGCAGTCACAGTGTCTCAAGAATCGGGGCTGAGATGTTCAGTGGCATTCCACGATTTTCATAGGGCTTTCACCTTTGGGGATCTCATCTGATCTTGTTGAGGTGGTTTTGTCAGGAAGAGTCAGTACCTGCGCACAGGTGTCCATCCGGCTGAAACGTGTGGTGCTGGGCTCTGACCCAGGTCTTCCAGCCTTGCTTTTGTGTCTGAAAACTGTCCTTCTTGCTCAGCCTGTGTTTACGTGTGAGAATTTGAGCTTTAGTGAGAAAACTGTGTGGTAAGTCTTCAACTTGGGGAGTGTCTGTACCCTCTTTCTATACAAACTGGTAAGTTGATGGTGGTACTTCTGCTAGACTTTAATACTGTTGAATAAAATGCCCTTGTAACTTTTCATGATTTTTAAAATCAATGTGTTTTTGTTTGGTCTTGATGGTCCTGTTCCCATTTCAGCGAGCCATGTCCTCCAACCGATGAGCAATTGGTTGCAGGGTAAGACCAAGACTTCTCCACCATCTTTCTGTCTTGATTCCTGCTGCCTTCTCTTATAATTGTGCTTGACTCCTGATTTCCCACAATGTTGAAGAATGACTAACGAGGCACACAGGCTCTGGCTTGGACCTCACTGCCCCAATCCCCCACGAGTGCCCAGGCTTCCCACGGCCCCTGCCCTTTCTCCACCTGGAGTTATTTAGCTGTTTCACATTACCTGAGAGGCCAAGGCAAGGTTGGCTGGCACCAGGGAGACTTCTGCACTCAAACCTCCTCCTCCTCCAGGCAGGCACCAGTGGCTCTGGGAGGGTGGTAGGTGAGCAAGAGCAAGGCTTCTTGTCTCCCTAGCCTGTTGCCCCCCTAGAGAGACCTTTGTTGGTCACTCCTTGCCTTCATTTCTCAGAGGGGTCTGGTGGGGTCTCTCCCAAGGGCCGGGTGTTGAATGTGATGCTTGGGCTTAGATGCTATTGTGTGTGCCATTAGAGGCAAAAATGTTCCCATGGAGTTTGTATGGTGCTTGTCCAGGAGGGCGTGGGTAAAGTAGGACTCTCCTGTCCCCTTGATGGGGCCTCTCTAGGAGTTGGAGGTGCACAGAGCATCGGTGAGCCCCCAAAACAGGAGGAGGCAGAGTTGAGCTCCCATCCATGCTGTCCCTCTGCCCACTTTTTTTTGGCCAAGCCCGAAAACAAGCCCTGCTCCTGAATGTCTTGGCACAAATGGAAGGTCTTAGCCTGTTTTCCAGCTGGGCTGGTTCATCTTCCTAAATGTGTGTGTTTTTTTTTTTTTTTTAATTTCTAAATTCTTCCAGGAATGTTAGTTTTTGTAACAGCTATTTTATTGTGTTGCAATATATTTACCAGGCCTTTTACCATCAAAACAAGCGAAAAGGATTTTTGTAAATTTTGAAACAACAAGCAAATATTGTCATTTGTTTTTGTCTCAATTTGCTATTCATAGCAGTTACGTCCGCTACCCCCAAATCTCATGGTACCACTCTCTGTCTTTGTGCATGTTATGTCAGCAGACACGTTCTAAAAGTATAAAGCCACTCAAGTGCTTTTTTTTGTCATAAATGTGTGATATTAAACTGTGGTCAGTGGATTTCTGTGTGGGCCAGACTTATTCAGACAAGCAGAGTGGCCAAACCCCACCCTGCTGGCTGCCCCAGAGGGGCCTCCCTGAATGACCACATAGGGCAGTGTGGCTTTTGACTTCAGCAGCACGTGGCCTTCCAGCTGGCTCCTTCTGCAGACCCTGGCCTCTCTGGGCTCAGAGGGGGAAAATGCTTTTTATTTGGCTCTTGGAAGGGTGCCTTTGGATTTTGGTATTTATAGATGTGAACCGGGCCACCACTGCTTGCCTCTGAATCTCAGGACCCATCGCACAGCCAAACTTAGGTTCCTGGACTGTGGTTGAGGGCCAGGGCTGAGGCCCATCTGTGGCTCTTCATGATAGAGCAGAGGTTTTTAGTGGAGATTTTTGGATATCACAGAAAAAAGTGAACTCCCTGGAGTGGTGGGAGGTTATTTTTGTATCTGTTATCACTGTGTCACTAAGTCACTGGGTGGCAGAGTCAAGGGGCACTATTTGTTCAGATAGGATGTGAAATGTTGGCACTGGATCAGTTGCTAGGGCGGAAGTGTTTGTTAGGGTTTTATCACGCTGAGCCCTCCCTCACCATCACCATGTCCCTCATACAGGAGTTACAGGGCAGGGGCCGGCCCGGTGGCGCAAGCGGTTAAGTGCGCGCGCTCCGCTGCGGCGGCCCGGGGTTCGCTGGTTCGGATCCCGGCGTGCACCGATGCGCTGCTTGGCAAGCCATGCTGTGGCGGCGTCCCATATAAAGTGGAGAAAGGCAGGCATGGATGTTAGCCGAGGGTCAGTCTTCCTCAGCAAATAAAGAGGAGGATTGGCAGATGTTAGCACAGGGCTGATCTCCTCACCAAAAAAAAAAAAAAAAAGGAGTTACAGGGCAGAGTGAGCCATTCAGAGTTTTTGAAGAAAGCATATAAAGTCTCTCGTCTAGGAAACTGGAATCTTCCATCTCTGGTTTAATCACTCCAGAGAGCAGTATGCCAGGGAAGGAGAGACCCACAATGGACGGCCAAGGGGTCAGGCTTTGGGTCCTGCATTTTCCAGAACATCTGTGACAGCCCTGGTGTTGGAAGGTCTGACTGCAATCCTGACTGTGCAAGAGGCGAGGCAGCCGGTTCAGACCAAACCCTCTGCCTCTCGTTTGTTTGGGGGCCACAGGGCAACCTAGGACGCCTAAAGGACCCTGCCAGTCCTGGAGGGAAGCTGGAAACCAACGTGACACCTCCCCACCACACCTGGCCGTAGGAGTTCTGAGCTCCCTGCCTGCTCGCTGGGGAGAGGCTTGGAAGAGGTCCCACAGCTGCTTGTCCTGCGTTTTGTCCGTATACTGGTTGACCACGGCAAGGCTCTTGCCTCAGGCTGGCTCTAAGTCACTCCTCCTATGTTAGGTGGTGAGCCCTGCCGTGTGTAAGTAGGCCAGAGCAAATGGCCCCCGTCCTAGATCCTTTTATCCCAGAGTCATTTGCTATTTCAGAATTGAGCTGAAGCAGCAGTTTGAAGCAGACCTTCCTTTTTCATCAGAAATGGAGAGTTATGGTGTTAGTTGTCTCCCTCCCCCCACAGTGAGGTTCTCCAGGAGAGAAGCATCTCGTACAGTGCTGCATTCACTGTAGCTCCTCAGCGTAGGCCCAGGACACACACTGAGTGTCTGTCCTCGATGGCCTCTTAGGGGCAGAGCATGGCCCTGGCGTAGCTGGAATGACCTTTCCCAACACAATGTGCCCTCTTGACCTGGATGTTAGAAATGCTTTCCCCAGGTGGAGAAATGAGCACAGGACTTGTCTGTCTTCTGGCTCCAGATCAGACACGGTACATCAGTGTTTCTAGAGCGGAGGCCCCCTGAGCCCTGGGCTCTGAGATAAGAGTCTACACTGCACCCCAAGCTCTCTCCTCCCTGTGGTAACTCTCCCTTATCTGGATCACCCTGGGCAGGAAGGCACAGGGTGGCCAGTGAGGAGACAAGTGTACAGCTACACCTTGAAAAAGGGTGAGCTCAGCAGTTTGCACACATTGTATCCAAATCTGCTCTCACCTACACCACAGCCATTCCCGCTTCTCCATGCCATCTGGTCCTGTGCATCCCTCAGTTCATGTCATATCAGTGGGTCTGCTTGTCTTGCACATCTTGAAAGTTTCTTCCTAATGGAAACTGGAAGGTTAAAGTGTTCAGAATAAGGGAAGGGCCGGCAGCCGTGCTGTGAGGAAGGTGATTAGCATGCTGCAGTTAGTGCTGTTGCTTTGCCCTTTCCACAGCCCTGAGGGGGCAGGGGGTTCTAGAGGTTGAGGGGTGCAGCCTAGCAAACCTGGGCCCGTCGGGAGAGGCCCCCATGAGCCTTAATGAGCAGCTCCTCAGGGCACTGCCAGTTCCAGCTGTTCCTTCCTTTAAAAGCAAACTGCAACTTGTTTCTCTCCTGAATTTCATAGAGCATGCCAAGAAATGACAGCATGTACCTTCAGTCTGTGCTTCTCATGCCTTTTACCTTGTAATTCTGGTGATTTTACAACCCTGATCTTGGGGATTGCTTCCGAAGGGCGACTGATAGAAGCTTCCAGGTCAGCAGCGGGGGTAGAGCTTCCATGCACAAAGCTGCCATTTACTGAGACGCTTCCCCTCTGAGGGTAGCAGGCATGGTGCCATGGCACTTTGTTAACTTATTTCCACTCTACCTTTTTTTAATTTTAAGGTTTTCAGATGTCATTCTGGCAACAATTTTGGCAACCAAGTCTGAAATGTGTGGCCAGAAATTTGAACTGAAGATCGATAATGTGCGGTTTGTTGGGCACCCGACACTGCTGCAGCATGCTCTGGGGCAGGTATGGCTCTCTCTGGGCAGGCAGAGTCCTCCCCAGGCAGGCGGGGTCCTCCCCAGGCAGGAGGGGTCCTCTCCAGGCAGGCGGGGTCCTCCTTGGGCAGGTGGGGTCCTTCTTGGACAAGAGGGGTCCTCCCTGGGCAGGTGGGGTCCTCTCTGGGCAGGTGGAGTCCTCCCCGGGCAGGTGGGGTCCTCCCTGGGCAGGTATGGCCCTCCCTGGGTAGGTGGGGTCCTCCTTGGACAGGAGGGGTCCTTCCTTGGCAGGTCCTCCCGGGGCAGGAGGGGTCCTCCCCGGGCAGGTATGGCCCTCCATGGGCAGGCGAGGTCCTCCTTGGGCAGGCGGCGTCCTCCTTGGGCAGGTCGGGTCCTTCTTGGACTGGAGGGGTCCACCCCGGGCAGGCGGGGTCCTCCCTGGGCAGGTATGGCCCTCCCTGGGCAGGTGGGGTCCTCCTTGGACAGGAGGGCTCCTCCCTTAGCAGGTATGGCCCTCCCTGGGCAGGTGGGGTCCTC